TAAAAGTCTATGATAAATACATTAAATTACCAATTTAATTAATTAAATTAATATTTTTATAAATTAAATAATATTATTTTAAATTAAATTAAATTATTTTTTATTAAACAATATATTTAAATTAAATAAAATCAATTAAATTAATATTTTATATTAAATAATATTATTTTAAATTAAATAAAATTATTTAAATTAATATTTGATAAAACAAATAATAGTATTTTAAATTAAATTAAATTATTTTATATTAAAAATATATTTTTTGTAAAATCAAATTATTTAAAATTATATTTTATAGATTAAATAATATTATTATAAATTAAATATAATTATTTTAGATTAAATATATTATTTTAGATTAAATTAAAATTATTTAACTTAATATTTTATAAATTAAATTATATTATTCTTAATTAATTTAAATTATTTTTTATTAAAAATATTTTTAAATTAAATAAATATATTTAAAATAATATTTTATAGATTATAATACTATTTTAAATTAAATAAAATTATTTTAAATTAAATAATATTATTTTAAATTAAAATAAAATTATTTTAATTAAATAAAATTATTAAATTAATATTTTATAAATTAAATAATATGATCTTAAATTAAATTAAATTTATTTTCTACTAAACCAAAATCTTTTAATTAAATAAATATTTTAAATTAATATTTTAGATTAAATAATATTATTTTAAATTAAATAAAAATATTTTAAATTAAATAATACTATTTTAAATTAAATAAGTTTTTTTTTTAAGTTAAATGAAGTCATTTAAGACCAAGGATAATTTTATCACACCATGATGGCGAGATTTTTTTATCCCGCCATCCAGGAAACACGCGTGCGTCAACTCATGCCACGTCATCTGTATTCTTATCCCAATCATATTTAGTATACCAGGGATAAGGTTGGTTAACCATACTTATCCCATTCTATCAAGGTTAGTAAACGAGGGCTAATTAAAACAATCAAACATTTAAAAAAAATAAAAATAGATGATCTATTCTTATTATGTTAAAACAATCAAACATTTAAAAAAACAATAGATGATCTATTCTTATTATATATTTTGGGCTAAATGGACATGATCTATCCAATTTTGACAATGTAACATCCCATGTGCTACTTCCTAGTAAAGACACAAAACAAAAACAGGAAAAAAAGAAAGAGAAAAAAAAAAGAAATATAAAAGAATAGAGTAATTGAAAGCTGTGGCGAGGTGGTCCATGTGTGCAATGTGGGAAAGGTTATTTATGCGGAAAAACTCCAGAATATAATTGACTTTTTTTTTTTCGCTTTATGTCCTTTTCTTAGGTGAATAATTGAAAACTTTTTTGCTTACTAGCCACGGGTCCAACGAGTGTATTAAGCGTGACCAAGCATGTATGGTTGCTCGACTCCGATATTCTCCTCTACAACTCTACCAAAAATTTGGACCTTTTGGTTCGGTTATCGCTTCAGTTCGGCATTAGGAACTCTACCAAAAATTTGAACGATTTGGTTCGGTTATCGCTTCAGTTCGACATTAGGGACTCTCTATCAGTTCGAAGCTTCAGAGATTTTTTTTTTTTATAATTTCTTAAAATTTTTCGGATGACTATTTAGTTATTTATAAATTTTGATATTAAATTCTATTTCGAAATCAGTTTTAGAAAATATAAAAGTAACTCTGAAATTTTAGTTAAAACTAAGTATGCCCCTATCAATTATGGAAATTTGAAATCTAAATAAAATCCAATATAGTGGTTTTTCTAAAATGTATTTCTTTAACTTTTGTTCATACTATTTTAATTATAAGATTGAATAAAATTAGACTAATAAGAATATTAACAAATATAATATAATATAAATATATATTTTCAAAATAAAATAAAAATTGTATATTTGGTATTATTAATTATAAAATCCAAGTAAAGTTTAATTGTTATTATTGTATGTTACTAAATACTATAAAAATACTTAAATTATGTAGGATTCAAGTTGGCATAAAATCTATGAACAAGACACATCTAATGTTATAATTTGATTTTTAGTTTCTATTTTTCGATCCGGTCTGGTCCAGTACGATATAAGATCGTTAGTTGCGATTCTCAATACGAACATTTATGAAATCTCCAAAATCATACCAATTATTTTTTCAGTTCGAATCACGTAGTTTGATATAAGAAATCCGATTTTGATTAGATTTATTGGTTTAAGTGAGTTAATTTTGAATAAGATTGTTTTAGTGGTGCTTCTAGTGAAATGTGAGTATATTTAAATAATATGTAAAATATAATGATTAAAATTTATTTGATGTAGAAATATGAGAGATGTTATTAATAATGAAAGGTACTTAAAAATATGTGATTGAATAAATAGTGATATAAGTAAAATTGATGTGTAAACATGATTGATTGATAATATTGAAGAGAGTTGACTTAAATTAATTTTTAGTTAAAAGCCAACGAAAAAAAAAAAGTTGCAACTTGTTATATTATGTAGCCAATAACGTAAATGATTCTTTTTAGGTTCGAAGTGATCATTTAGGGTCGGTTTTCAAAACCTTCGGAATTCTGCGAATTCCATGCTCAATCATATGAAATATTCCACACCAACTTCTGAAGTGGGATTTAGCACTGTGAATTTCTGACTAATCAAATAGCAACTAATTGTATCCTGCTAAAAATACATCAGTAATATTACCTTTATTCTTTATCATTTCTCGATTTATGCGTGTCATCCTTGCAAAGGGACCACACTAATCTTATCTGTATCGTTCCAATTTTATTGGATGTCCCCGAAGGGACATAATCCATCATTGGAAGTTGTGATTCCATTTCAAGTAAACAGCATTCGAGAAGTTCTCCCTGGCGATGAATATCTCAATTCATCCACAAATATTATTACATTACAAAAAAAATAATAATAATAAAAATAAAAATTGAAAGTTAAAGAACTCTCATCTGAAAGATTGCTGGATTTCCTCCAATGTCTTTCCTTTTGTTTCGGGTACCCAAATCGCCACAAAGACCACCGTGAAAACACACACGATCGTGTAAAGTGCAAATGTCCCTGTCAAAAGATGCCGTAAAACATATGAACGAAAAGATTCTTTGTTGCTCAAAAATTTCCAAAGATTTGTATTTTCTAGCACAATAAAACATATGAAGAGAACGAAAAATAAAAAATAAAAAAAAAAACTATACGAACCTCCACTGCTCCAAGCAAGTAGTAAAGGTGCAGTCATAGTAATAACCCAAGAGGCCGACCAGTTTGCCAAAGTTGCCACACTTCCTGCTAGGCCTTTGATCTTAGGAGGAAGAATCTAAGATAAAATAAAATAAAAGAATAATTAAAAAAAAATTACAAAAGTCTACGGAATTGAAATATTACAGTGTAACAAAGGTGAGGATAAACAAACATTACCTCAGACATTATAAGCCAGGGAATGGGCCCCATTCCAAGCGAAAATGAGATAATCATGCACTACAGTGGAAATTTTTGGTCGAACAATGTAAGTTGGCCGATCAAATGAAATTTATAGACTGGTATATACTAAAGAAACGGTTACGAACACTTACCACAACTCCAACTACTGATAGGATTCCCAATATGTTGTAAAATGAAGAATCCTTGCTCACGAAGTCCTTAAATAATTTTCGGTAACATCAACATATCAGATAATGTGTATTATGTTCAGTATTTGATTTATATATACTATCTAACAAGCCCGTTTCTTAAATCTAATAGATATCTTTATAATAATAGATGGAGTATAATTTACCTTTACGAAAAATGAGACTGAAACTACTAGAAGACTGACACCCATGCCTACTGAAGAGACCTGAAAAATCCGAAGGTGGAAAAAGGTTACTCTTGTTAAGTAATTCGATAAATTTTAGGCCTTAATACATATATATTTCGTTCAACTTACAAGAAGTAGAATCCGGCGCCCAGTTTTGTCTACCAACCATGTCGAAACTGCAGTAGCAATCACCTACACCACGCATGAATTTATATAAAATTTTGAAGAAAAATCAAGAAAGTTAAGATACATTTTGTACGGGAAGTTACAAATATCAACGAACAAAGTTTAACCTGAATAGCACCGACACCGAAGGTGGCGGCATTGCCTGATGTGACACCTGTTCATTCAAGATAAATACGTAAAATAAGGCCATCAAATGAAACTGAAACGTAAATATACTTTTATCAAACACGACTGTAATGGAAAAAAAAAATCACATTAAACTAATTTTAAGTTTCTGAATATGAGTGAAAAAAGAAGAAACTAGATTACGTTCAGTTAGTGAACTCCTCATAAGTTAACAAAAAGCTACGCTACTAGAAAATATGGCAAGCAAAGATTGAAGAGTGAAAAAATGATTTGTTGTCTACTTATATTACCCACCAGCAGATTCAAATATAGTAGTGGAGTAGAATATAACACCATTAGTTCCCGCAAGCTGCTGGAAAAGAAGTAACCCGATCCCTATCTGAATGAGAAAAAAATAAATAAATGTGAAATCCTTTTCAAAGCAGCAATATAACGTAAATGTCAAAAAATGCAAAAAACATAAAAAAAAGGCATATGAAGAATAGAGGCCATGCAAATATACACACACCATAAGGGGTAACCAATATCTTCTCATTTTGAGATCAGCAAACCGGATTGCTGTTCTTCTGCTTGTTGAAGCTACAGACCTCTGCCATCCAAAAATT